GCGTTGCCATGGTAACCGGGTCTCGCGAGAGTTATGAGAAGAGAGCAGAGAGGAGGAGAAGCTGCTCCTGTGCTGCCTGGGCCCCCTCTGCGGTAACAGGGAGCCGGGGGGGCCGCGGCGGCACACATAGATCGCGATATTCGCTATCTATGTGTGCAGAAAGGGAAAGGGGGCCCAGGACTGCCAGAGCAGTCCGGGCCCCCCAGGGCCGCCGGGCCCGTGACAGCTATCGCGATTTATTCACCCTGACCCTGGGTGGCACTAGTCACCGTATCCACTGTTAGCGTAACACACCGCTTTGAGGACACTGGCTGCTATTCAATCTATAACAGTGAAAAAAGTGTTTTGTTTTCAAGCTTTTGTGTCACCAGATGGCAATTGGTACAGCACTGACTGAAAATAGGCACAGTATGCACTGAGCCTGACACAGAAGCTGGCAGCAGTGGCAGACAACTAAGTGCAATTACATTACATAGAAAAATAAAATAAAAAAAAAGCATACCCTTATCCCTAACCTAGCTATGCTTTTTCCTATCTTATGAACAGCAGCTACACTTTCCCTCCTCTTACTAAGCATGCAGCTTGAGAATGAATCTAAAATGGATGCTGTCCAGTAGGTGGGAGGGTCTGCTAGGGAGGCTGTACTGCTAATTGGCTGGAATGTGTCTGCTGACTGTGAGGTACAGGGTCAAAGTTTACTCAATGATGACGAATAGGGGGCGGGTCGAACCGCGCATATGTTCGCCCGCCGTGGCGAACGCGAACATGCTATGTTCGCCAGGAACCGTTCGCCAGCGAACCGTTCGGTACATCACTAGTTACCATACGTATAGTTGAGTTAAGCCTGTATGGAGACAAAAGGGAATATACACATAGTGAAGTATGTAATGGAACAGTAAAAACAAATATAAAAAACAATAAATACAAAAGTAGTGGCACAGAAAGAAATACTTCTGTGCTAAAAAGCTTGTCAGCCACTGCTGGGCTAAGTCCCCTTATGTTGAGTTTCAGCCCCAATGCCTCAGGATGTCTGTTGTTTGTTCGTTTTTCAATCTCTTCAGATGGAGTGAGAAGGTTGATAAATCAGGCAGGTACAGGCTGTAAGGTAAAAGGAAGATACCACCTAAGCTTTATAGGATTGAGCAAAACTTCACTTTGCTCTCCTTTTGTGAGTATACCTAATTTTATCCTTTTTATTTCCTATTTATCCATATAGAGAGCACTATTTTCTGTTTTTATACCTCTCTGCTGGTGTACCTTTGCTGCTGAAATACAATGCACTGAAAGAAAACATCCCCAGCAACTGATAATTGCTGCCCACTGCTGACAGGCCTGAGGATATCTCCTAACAGAGAACCAGGACCTATACCAGCATATCCATAGACAGGGATCATACCACTGGCATACATACCGCGGTTGCAGGGGTCACAGCTGCGACCGGGCCCGTCACTCCAGTGGGCCCGGCCGCCCTGCAGACCCCTGCAACCGGGTGCCCACCATTATCATTTGCGGACCTGGCCCGCACGGCAAACTGCCGTGGCCGCATGTTAAGGTGCCCATCGGGTGGCCCTGACAGCATAGGCCACCCGATGGAGATGGATTGTCAGGGGTCCCGGTCATGCTGGTAAAGCGCCCAGCGCTTGACCGGGCCCCCTGTGATGAGATCATCACACGCTGGGAGGAAGTGACTGCACATCACTCCTTCCAGCTAACACTGAGAGCCCACGCGGGAGGAAGCAGAGGGAGTCAGAGTGGGAATTCTGACTCCTACCAGCCTGAGCCACCACTGGACCCCAGGGAAAGTCACCCTCCTGCACCTAAAAGGTAGGAAACAGGAGGGTGACTTAAATATAATGTGTGTGTTTGTATGTATGTATGTGTGCCTGTCTGTTTGTATGTATGTCATGTGTGTCTCTGTGTGCATGTGTCTTTGTATGTAAGTGTCTGTCTGTATGTGTGCCTGTCTGTTTTTATGTATGTGCGTCTTGTGTGTGTGTGTGTGTCTGTCTTGTCTTTATGTATGTGTGCCTGTCTGTTTGTGTCTGTCTCTGCCTGTCTGTTTTTATGTATGTATGTATGTATGTGTCTTGTGTGTATGTGTGTCTTGTGTGTGTGCCTGTCTGTCTGTATGTGTCTTGTGTGTATGTATGTATCTGTCTGTGTGTGTCTCTGTATGTATGTGTTTGTGTCTGTCGGGGGGGCCCATGGATCACTTTCGCATCGGGGCCTCATGGGTTGTGTACGCTACTGGATCATACCGTCCAAGCGAATACATCTGGAGCTGATTTTAAGCTCCAGAAAATTGTAAGTGTTTTCCTTTCTTTTCATCTTATTTTACAAGCAATGAAAACACTGCACTAGATTTCGCTTTATTGTCTTCCTATCATTTCAAATCACCCTATACTCAATTGGATTTGAGTACATTACTGACATTATCTACAGCCAGAAGGAAAAGACTCCAATTTCTTCTATCCATTCCCACTACACTATGCCTGCACCAATGGCTGCAGTCATATTAAAGAAAAAAAGACTTTCTAATCCCTCTGGTTGGTAGAGGCCTGCCTTCCTTTCCACATCCTTTCTAGCTTCTAGTTACTGGGTCTTGACATCCATGGTGACCAACTCTTCTCTTGGTCAGGTTATTTTTTCAGCTGTATAACTGGTGAATGGTAAGGCATATGTGTTGATGGTTTGTTCTTGTCATTGAGCTGGGACTTCAGGACCTGTCTGACTCACTTCAGGTACTGATTGCTATCCTCTGTGCCTCTTCCACCTGGTTGCCATATGTTTGTGGTCCCCCAAGTACATGTAGCTTTTCTCTACATTTCCTATTTGAACTTCTGGCACTTGAACTCCTTCCCTCTTTTTGCTATCATCTGCTCACACTCACACTCTAGTCTAAATGGTATTCCGATGTCCTTGCTGTATTTCCTAGTGAGTGAGTCAATGCCTCTCACACTTTTTGAATACAGCTTGATCTCTTCCATGTAGAGTAGGTGGCTGATGGTAAAAGGAGGCCAAGAGTGTTCTCTATTTGTAGTAAGTATAAAGCGCAAGTAATAGTAATATACTTAGAGTGGATGGAGCAGACTAACCGCTCTCTGTATCAGGCGTGCTACAGGAACACACGCATGGAATTACTAACCTATTGTAAGAGAAGGATATGCAAAGCTACAAATGCTTTGTGGATGTGGGCTTGGAAGATCTCACGTCAGTTACAATAAATATACCCCTATGGACGACCACACAAAGAATCCTAGGTGGGGGTTATACCACCCACGCCTGATACAGAGAGTGGTTAGTCTGTTCCATCCACTGTAAGTATATTTCTATTACTTGTGCTTTACACTTACTACAAACAGAGTGTCAGGATCTTACCATGTGTGGAGTCCGACGTGCAGAGTTATATGCTCACCCTTGCAAATAATCATAGACCAAGGTGACCAGGCAAGAAGCAACATGGGCTGTGAGTCTGTGCACGGGGGCTGTGCAGGAATAGTGTTCCAAGTCGCAGTACAGGCAAGGATTACCAGAAGAGTAGTTGTGGAAAGCCGAAGTCAGGGGAAGCCAGAGGTCAGAGTAAATGAGGAAATAAGCCAAGGCCGGAAGCCAGAATCACTCTGAAAGAACACTGGATCAAGATACGAATATCAGGAACCAAACCGCAGAACCAGAGTCAATGAAATGACCAAGCTCCCAGCGCGAGACAGTGCTTATATATCCAGCTAATAATGATCTGCTTCAGGTGTGCTACATAAGACATGAGCAGCCATGGGTAAAGTTCAGCCCCCAGTGCTGGAGACAAGGCAAGGATGGACATTAGGCAAAAACATGAATAGATGGGTGGCTCGGAGGAAAGAGAGCAGGACCAAATCAGCAAGAAGCCACCTGGTAGATAACCACACCTGCTAGTGAGCTTTCCAGATATCATGATGGAGATTGTAACACAGTGATCACTAATGGCTTCCTTTTAGTCATTTCATATGTCCCATTCCATCATCATTCTATTGTGAACCATTGCCTGAAGAATATCCTTGACTTCTAGGGTTTTTTTCCACTTACCCATCTTGATGGAGGTTTTTGGTGCACTGCTGACTTTGTATAAGGCCAAGCATTCAGTATTCTTGTGTATGTCATAGGCTTTCTTGTAGTCAATCTAGGCTTTGTACAGATTGGTCGGTCTGGACTTAGAATCCTGTGTGTCTGGTTGGTTTACCAGTTTGGTTTCCAATCCCCTTTTGAGTATTGATCATGTACTGACTTATATGCCCATCAATCTTGGAGGCTATGATGCCTGACAGGACATTCCATGTTGTTGGAAGGCAGGTGATTGGTTGGCAATTAGATCGCATTGTTCCCTTGTGAGAGTCCTTCACGACCAGTATTGTTCTGCTTTGAGTTAGCGAGTCAGAGTGGGAGCCTGTTGCTAGTATCTGGTTCATTTGTGCTACTAGGCTGACCAACTCCTCATGTGAGCTACTCGTTGTTGGATATCTCCCACTGTGATGGTGACTGGTTCCTATTCTGGGAGTGTTGTAGAATTATTAGGCCTCTATAAATCTGTAAGGCCCCTTTAAATCCTCTTGCTATACCTCTAAGAGGCCCCCATAGTTTTACAAGAAAGCCCTGTCTATAGAACATAGAATTTGCATGTCAGCAAGAAATAGCTTTGATAAAATGTGTATTTACTAAAAGCCTTGAAACCTAACCTTGAGAAACTAACCATGCCAGCTACACTCTAAATGGATGGCTGCCAAAGCACCCCTCTCAGTGAGTGAACACCTCGTGCTAACAAGATGGCGCCTACATCTTGTGTCCACTCCCGTGTCAAGGATGACATCACCTCTTGATAGGAGGGTACCTAACTAACCACTTAACACCTGGACCAATCAATAGTGTCTATTTGCTGTTATCTTGATTTTCTTCAATGATGTAATAATGCCTTTAAAAGGGTCTGCGCACCCATTTTCTGTCAGAAGCCATTAAACTTCTCCGAAGTTCTTTCATTAACCTGAACTTTGTGTCTCAGTGTGAATTTACTTCTGCGTGCACGCAACTTTATTATCTTTAATTTGGACAGGAACAGATAGTCATTCAAACTAATTGGTTTGCAGTAAATTATCTACAACAGCTGGCGCCATAACGTGGGGCTCTGGGCTATGTCCTGTCTGGGCAGCTGTCCAAGAAGATGCTGGGGGGGTGAATCCTGGGGGAAGGAAAAGAGCCTGATCACCTCTGAGTACACGGTAGAGATTGCTGCAGCACCTAGCCGGTATGTTCCTGCCCCTGTGATTGACCTGCCCCAGTGTCTGTGACTGCTGCCGAGAGGACATCAAAGTCAGGTAATAACTTGCCCAGAGTCTTTGTATTGTTAATGAAATCTAGTTTACCTGCATGTTGACTATCTGTTGCCTGGGTGTGTTTGTATTGGTATGTGTTTAACTTAGTACCCGGGGAGTGTAAGTGCCTGTTTAACTCCTTTTAGGTACCACATGCCTGTGGTAGTAAGGAAAAAGGGGGGTGGACCTGTGGAAGTTTTCCTGGGGGTCCTCTATTGCCTGTTTAACTCTTTTAGGAGCCACATGGCTGTGGCTGTAAGGAAAAAGAGTAGGGGGAATCTGTGGAGGATGATGTAGACTCATTGCTTCCTGGGGGTTCCCCAGAGTGTCATTTTGACCGCTTAGCTTCTTGGTAAAATTCCAGTCTCAAGCGCTGAGGCAGGTAAGATTCCAATTCTTTAGGCTATACAGGATTCGGGTTGGAAGCTGTTGCTGTTTCCTGTGGCTGCTGGTAGTGAGACTTGCGGGTGGGTCCGCAACAGGGACACTACGAGGTTGAGGGAGGTGGCTTTTGGCCACACGAGTAAAGGCAAGGGATAAAACTGTTGAACTTATTTGAACTGTGATGCATGCACTGTATTTACACTGAAATGTTATTGTCTTAATTGTCTGTCACACAGATTCCTGTGTTTACTTCTCTTACTCACTGTACTATTTACACTTTCCCCTCCTATTTCTCTTTCTCTTTGTTGAGAGAAGTGATTGGTCACACACTTCTCGCCACGCTCCAATCCGCGGCTACCACGGGTAGGCGGAATCAGTGACTAGTCTACGTTTTGGGAAGACGTACTTAAAGAGCTTGCTCTTAAAGTAGCAGTCGAGCACTGGTAGACGTTCTGTTCCTCTCTCTCTCTATATCTGGGACGCCTTATATAGGGAGGATGGGACAGAAGTTAGATAAACCCAGTAAGGGTTGGTTAGCATGTGATCTAGTGGAAGACAGAGAAGGAGAAGAGATGGTTAAGAAAGTGAGGAAGATTGCTAAAGTATGTGGAATTACCGTACCTCCGTGCGGCAGATTGTAGCCAGAGAGCTGGCGTAAGTTACTGATAGAGAAGAAAGGGGAAGCTGTCGGACCACGATTTGGTTTGTACAGCAGAAGCCTGGTACCGAGTAACAAGAGCTATTCAGCAAAAGGGATATGTTGAGGAAGAAATTGATCACAAAGGTTTAAGATTGTTTGTGTATTATAATAATTGTGTTACTGGATGCTGATGGATCCCTATTCTCCCCCCCCCATCAGTCCTACAGATCTCGTCACCCTCATCCTCTCTCTGCAGCTCCCTGCACCTCCAGTCCGTTTCTCCCGTCAAAGATTTCTGGTTTCCAAACGTATAAGTCTCTGTCCTTCTGTCTTGTTACTTTCCAGCACTCACATGGTTAATCTTCATGCCTGCAGCTTCTCTCCCTTTTTTGCACTGTCTCACATCCCCCCCCCATTCCTCCCCACTTGCCTCCGAATGGGGGAGGTACATGCCTTCTGCATTTCGGAGCTGCTGATAAGAGTTAGAGACAGGATTTTTGCTGGAAAATATTCTAATTCAAAGGTTATGGTGTTATAATTGTGTAATAATATTATTATTGTTGCCGTTTGCCGTTTATGTATGTGTATATATATATATGTATGTGTATGTGCATATATATATATATATATATATATATATGTATATATGGACGTGTTAAGTGTAAAGGCAAGCGTGATTTGTTGCAAAACTATGCAATGTGGATAGAGGGAATATGCGGAGTTAAGCTAGTATGTGAAGAGGAAAGTGATTAATGGTTTGAGGAAGATAAGGTTGAATTCCGCAAGTTTATCTTGCATCATTTTAAAGAACATGTTTCTAGAAGACAGCTGTATGGGCTGTTAAATGCATAATGTTCTCAACTGTCTTATTCAACCTGCCAGGTCTGTTCATAGTTTAGTATTTCATTTTGCAGAACGGAATGTTGCTTCTCTGACTTATTTTAATAGTTATAATATAGTGTATTGTTGAAAGTGCGTCAGTCACCACCCTAAAGATGGCGCCTAGTACAGAAGAAGGTTGCTAAAATGTAATTTGCAAATGTGGTGTGACCTACATATGAAATCTGTTGGACACGAATATAAGAGCATAACAGCTGATTATCCAGCTTCATCTTGCAACAAGGGAAATAGCCAAATAATGCAAGTTATTTTAAACATTGTATCTTTACTTAATCGAATCTTGCTAGTTACAGATCTTATGTTTACAGTAACATCCTTTACTTTAAATGATGGTTTAGCATTAGAAGGATTAGTGACATGTTTTATTAACCCAGCCACTACTGGTTGTTTATTTTAGTTACAGGGTGGTATAATTGTTATAGTCTAATTAATATAAATGATAGTACCGCAATAGTTGATGTTTTATCCAAAGACATTTAGGAACTTTACTTAACTTACTATTAACCATTATTTATAATGATAGACATGTTCAGACTGCAAAAAGCTATGGCTAATGACATAGAAAGGGGTTTGAGTCAGTAACACAGCCCATACTGAGGAGAGCAAACCCGCTGATGCTTAATGCCCCTGCCATGGCAGTGTCTTCAGGGGAACAAGGGGGGCCTCTAGCTACTGTAATTTTACCCATTGAGGGCCAGCCCACCACTTTCCTAGTTGACACAGGTGCAGCCCGAAGTGTTCTGAGAGAACAAGACCTGCCCGATACCTCATTTCTTTCCAATATTGATGTCTCCTGTGTTGGGGTGGACGGCCTTCCAAGGCAAAGTCCCCTGTCCACCCCACTGCGGGTTGGTAACTGCCACAACTTGCTTGCTCGCTTTGTGGTATCTTCCACATGCCCCATTAACCTGTTAGGAGCTGATGTTCTTTCACGCCTGCAGGCATCCATCACCTTTACTCCAGATGGACAAGTGGAACTATCCACCCCTCTATCTGTCTCAGACACCTCAGCTTTGTGCTCCTTACCCCTGATGCTACATCTAGAAGAGCCTCATGGGGATGCAAAAGACCTAAGGACTAATTTCCCTGATTCACTAAAGACTGATGTTCCCAAGAAGCTGTGGTCCACAGGCCCAGAGGACATAGGCCATCTAAAGGTCCCGCCTGTGGTGGTAAAGCTCATCCCAGGCGTAAAATTGCCACGAAAATCACAGTATCCTTTGAAACCAGCTCAAGCTGCAGCCATTACAATTCAAATTCAAGCACTCCTGGAGAAGGGTGCTCTTGTCAAATGTGAATCACCATGCAATACTCCATTATTTCCAGTAAAGAAAAAGACTCCAAAAGGCGAACCAGAAAAGTACAGATTGGTCCAAGACCTCAGAGCGGTAAAAGCCACAGTTTTGGACACTCCAATAGTGCCCAACCCACACACTCTCCTTTCCGGCGTTCCACCCTCTGCCAAGTACTTCACTGTCATTGATCTGGCCAATGCCTTCTTCAGTGTTCCCCTGGATCCAACTTGCCAATATCTGTTTGCTTTCACACATGAAAAACAACAGTACACATGGACTGTCATGCCCCAAGGGGCACAAAATTCACCAAGTCAATTTGCGAAGGCCATGTGCTCTATCCTTGATCCATGGCAATCTGACCACCCTGAGGTCGTCCTGCTTCAATATGTGGATGATTTGCTGCTTTGTGGAGATGATATACCCACAACAGAACAATGCTCACTTAATATTCTTTGCTACCTAGCAGAACAAGGATGTAAAGCTTCACGTCTCAAGCTGCAATTCTGCCAACCTACTGTTATCTTCCTTGGCCATTGTCTGTCTCAGGGAACCAGACATCTTACCCGTGACCGAGTTAGAGCGGTACTGGACATTCCACCTCCAAGGACCTCGAAGTCACTACACGCCTTCCTAGGCCTCATTTCCTATTGCCGAGCATGGATCCCAGAAGCCTCGCTCCTTATGCAACCTCTTTATGATGCTCTCAAGTCAGACCCATTTTGCTTGTCCACAGAAGCCCTTGACAACTTCTGTTCTCTCAAAAGTGCTATTGCTTCTGCTCCTGCTCTTGGCCTACCAGACTATACCAAACCCTTCAAACTGTTTGTTTCTGAAAGACAAGGCCATGCAACAGGAGTGCTCACTCAGGCCCATGGTCCTGGAGGCCGCCAAAGGCCTATTGGATTTTTCTCCTGCCAACTGGATATTGTGGCCAGAGGACGTCCCTCTTGCCTTCGGGCCGTCTTTGCTGCCAGAGAGCTCATTGAAAGAACTGGAGATCTTGTCCTTGGCCACCCCCTGGTTGTCTTGGCCCCCCATGACATTTCTGCCATAGTCAACCAGGTCCAACTTAAGCATGTTACTCCTGCTAGGCATCTTCGCCTTCAATGTCATCTTTTGTTGCCTGACAACATTACCCTCCAAAGATGTCAAGTTCTCAATCCGTCCACTCTTCTGCCACTCCCTGAGGGGGGTGTATACTACGGATTCATCATGGACGAAATTTATGTTTCTCTTCTCACTGGCACCATCAAGAAGGAAATGCATCCCAACCTATCCTTTTATGATGAACAAGCACTCCTTCATGACGGAGCAAGACATGCCTTCTGTACCATGTGGTACAAACCAAACATCACTCCTGAACCCTGCTATGAAGATGAACTCTATAAGCTGGTTGAAGTAAAACTCACTGCACAAGACTTCTACTGTGATTCTGAAGGCAACAGTATGGTCTTGATTCATCTACCTCCGGAACTCAAGCATTTGTACCGTCATTGGGACACTGCCATTCCACATGTCCCTGTGACCAAGTTGAAAACAATATCATGGAATGATCTTGGGCCTATGGCAAAAGCATGGGCCACTATGGACGAATCACAGCTACAGGAAAATGGTGTTGTCAAATATCCAACAACTGACCCTAAAAGCATGGCCACGTCATTTCCTGGAAAATAAGTTCCAAGATTTAACCATAGTGAATGAATACGACCCAGATACACCTCATGACTGTTTTGAACAGATGAAAATGGAAACAACACATCTACCAACTGTGCATGAAGACCCATTGGTAGATCCCGATCTCACCCTGTTTGTGGACGGCTCAAGATATGCTGATGAAGAAGGAAGATACCATACAGGATATGCCGTAACCACAACAGATGAAATTGTCAAATCATCATCTTTACCATCAACTATGTCTGCACAAGAAGCTGAATTGCAAGCCCTGACTTCAGCATGCAAGATCTCTGAAGGAAAGCGCGCCAATATCTACACGGATTCAAGATATGCACTGGGCGTGGCTCACGACTTCGGATTAATTTGGAAAACAAGAGGATTTCTTACCACCACCGGTACACCAATCAAGCACGGTTCCGCGATCAAGGAGCTGATGGACGCCCTCCTACTCCCAGAAGAAGTGGCTATTTTGAAGATAAAAGCACATGGGAAGTTGGACTCAGATGAAGCAAAGGGCAACCATCTAGCTGATCAGGCTGCAAAACAAGCTGCAAAAGAACCACAGGAAGTGGAAAGAAGAGTGTCCGGAAATGAAGAAACTCCCATATTTACTCTGCAGACTCTTCCAACTGACCTGAAAATCCTGCTGGAACAACAGGCTACAGTTGCCCCTGAAGAAATA